AGGAATTTTCGCTCGCGTTCACGCGAGCAGGAATCGAGAGCGACGGCGGCGGCGGCGGCGGCGGTGGTGGCGGTGGCGGTGGCGGCGGCAGCGGCAGCAGCGGCGGCAGTAGAACGGCAAGCCGTAGTAGTAGGAGGAGGAGGAGAAGAAGAAGAGAGGTGATACTCGACTACCGCCTCGATACGACTATTCTTGGGGCCGACCAGAGACCGACTGCCGACTAAGGCGACCCCTGACACCGACCTGGACCCCCCACTATCGCGAACCCGCGAGGGTTTCTCGCGGGTACCACCGGTTGCCATGACTACTGAAGGTGGGGTCGAGTCCCGGGCGCGCCCCGGTCGTCCTCTCATTGGCTACGGGCTTGCCCTACCCCGGACAACCAGCACGCGTTGCCCGACCAAGTAGTTCCGTACCCACTTTGACTCCTCGATCTAGTCGCCGTTTCCCTCTTTCTCTTCTGCGATCGCTGATGAGTGGGTCTCCTTCCTTCGCTCGAGATTGTCTCACTCGCCGCACCGACGACTTGCTCGCTCGCTCTCACTCTTCATCTATCTATCCGTCTGCCGTCAGTCTATTCGTCCTGCTCTCCCTCTCCTTCGTCTTCCCTTCTCTTCTCCCCTTTTACCCTTTCTCTGTCTCTCTTTTTCTCCCCATTCGCGAACAAGTGCTCCGCAGTTCTCCTTATCGCGTTCCCTGTCCCTCTCCTTTTCCCTCGCGTACCATGTTCCACCACTCTACTCGTAATCTCTTCTCGCGGACTCTCAAGCTCTTCGGATTCTTCAACCTGCTGATCATATTATTACGCTTTTTATCAAACCGACCGCGACCGCTACCATATAGTCGTCATCACCACCTTCTAAGCGCCCTGTCGAGCAACTCTGCCCTTCTCGGGATGGGGCTCGATTCTCGACGTTCGATTCTCTGGACTCAATCTCCAGCTCATTTTAATCCCTCGATTCCTATCGCTTCTTTCTTTCCGCTTTCTTTCAACTTAATCCGTCTGCGATTATTTCCGCTAAATGTCGCTCCCATTCGTTCTAAATCCGTCACAGTAAATAACATTCTTCAAATACCTTCCAACGACTGTTTTTAGCCATTTAATGTTATTCTTATCTGCATTTTTTTGTTTTGCAAGAAAAAAAGTTCGTTGTGGCAAAATTGCATCGTAAAGATTTGTTTTAAAGCATATTATTAGTTGGTTGAAGGATAACACGAGTATAGATGAGCGATTAATATGTCGTTCGGAAGTCTTCGGCTGTCGCTTCTTTTCTTCTCCGGAAGAAGAGCCCAGGTGGAAAGAACGCGGTCGTCCACCCCGTCGGTGTCAGGGGCGGCCGAGGGAAGAGAGGTCAGAGCGAGAGGGCGGCAGCCAATGAGGACGTGGAGTCAAGTGGGGCGCGAAAAATGGGCCGGCCCGCCTTCCATCCACCCCCGGGAGTTAAGGGTGAGGGTAAGGGTGCGCGGAGTAGGGCTAGAGAGGGCTCCGAAGGCGGCCGGGGCATCGAGGTAGGGTCAGTCGGGTCGCAGCCCTGCACCCCTACAGCCTCGCCTGTCAAGCTCTTTGCTCTTTCCGCGCCTCTCTCTATCTCTTACTCCTCCATCTCGTTTTCTCTTACGTTTCGTCGTCTTTCCCTTACGACGCGTGGTTCCGACGTTTTTCCCGAGCTGCCGGAATCCGATATCTTTCATGTTCCCACTTTCCCATGTTTTAATCTTAATGTAGAGTATTGATTCAAAATGATACACACGTAGTCCAGTGAATGTTGAAATCCGCGATTATCAAATCTACTTACGTCACGTCAAATCTCGTTTTTTTTATTCGGATTGCCGTCTTACTGGTTCAAACATAGTATTTTCATATCATTGATTCGATACTTTTTCTCTCCCGGTTTCTTATATAAAAACTAAATGAGAAGTAAACGCTTCAAAATGTTCAATATTTAATTACACTTTTCCTTCTCTGATGTACAAATTTACACTTTAGACGCAGTAAGCGTGAAAGTGTGCTAAGAAGTTAGAAATAACGAATCTCTTACATCATCAATCAGTTTATCCTATATTCTGTTACCGATAAACACTATCCGCGTAACATTCTTATCGCGCAATTGCTCGCTGGCGTCTCTCTCTCTCTCTCTCTCTCTCTCTCTCTCTCTCTCTCTCTCTCTCTCTCTGCGTCTTAATCGATGTCGAGCCAAAGCAGGCGCGTAAGACGATCTTCTCGTCGAGCGACGAAATCGAAAGGAGGTATCCTCGACGCGTGATTCGCGTGCGAGGAATTCGGCGCTCGATACAACGGCGGGAAGCGCTATTCTTTTATCAACGGATTGCGCGTGTGTACGCGTGCACGCAAATAGCGGTCGGCAAATAGCTGGCCGGACGAACGGAAAAAACAAGAAACGAGGGTACAGAAGACTCGAAGACGATCGGAGCGAAGCGAGCCGTTGGCACTCGCGCGCTCTTGAACCGAACTCAATAAGCGTGACCTCCGACCGACCGACGCTCGACTCTCCGGCCGTTACAAGCGCCGTCGTGGATGTCGTCGTGGATGTCGTCGAGGGTCAAATTTAGGCTGCACTCGACGCGACCGCATCGAATTTCGCGCGACCTGTTCCACCTGACGACGTCAACGCGATGTTTATCACTTCTATCGATGTCGTGGGATCCATTTCGACTAGAGAACAACATTCATAGAAAAATACAAAAAATATGAAGAATTTATAACGGTTTCTGTTCTTAAGATTCTTAATGCTTTTATGTGTTTGTTAGATTCCTTATATTTTACTGAACAATAAATAAAATCTTGTATATTTTAAAAGAGAAATTGCATTTTTGTCTTAAATAATTTGATAAAAGTATATATACGTGAAATCAAACTGCATCTAATTATATTGTATATGTATAGTACGTATTCTACTTTAAAAAAAAAAAGTTGTTATAAATGATTAAATTAAGTTTTGCTATTAAAGAAAGCTTCAAGTTTTCATTTATTTTAACTGAGATCTGTGAATTAAAAAACATGAAAGATATAAAACAAAATAAACAATGTTAAGAGAAACAAAAACAAAGTTTAATAAATAAGAATTGAATTATTTGTTTTGGAACAACTGTCCTTGCTTCATTTCAATGATTTTCGATTAATAATTTAAATTATTACAACATGTTATTACAGAGAGAGAAATAAATTACTAAAATAAATTTGATAGACTATCAAGCTATGAAGAAACTAAAAATCTAAAAACTAAATATCTAAAAATTAAAGTTTACCGGTTAAACATATAATTGTCTATTATGTTAACTTTCTCTCGAATAATAATTTAATTTTCTATATTTTCGTGACCGCGAGCAATTTATCCGTATCATATGTACCCGTCTTTATAATATCTCAGATACGACAACGACGTGG